GAGTGTGACAGGGGGCGGTGCCCCAACCCCCCAATCGGCTCTACCCTGAGCGTGACTAGGGGGGGCATCGCAACCTCCCGATCCGCCCTGCTCTGTGCATGATGGGGCGGCACCCCAACTCCCCAATCGGCCCTGCTCTGAGCCTGACCAGGGGCTGCACCTAGGGATTGGGCCTGCCCTCTGCCACCCAGGAGCAGGCCTAAGCCAGCAGGTCGTTATCTCCTGAGGGGTCCCAGACTGCGAGAGGGCACAGGCCGGGCTGAGGGACCCCGCCCTCCCCCCCAGAGTGCACAAATTTTTGTGCACCGGGCCTCTAGTCCTATATAATAAAACCCTAATATGCAAATTGAACGAACAGTGTTACGACCAGTTGCTATGACGTGCACTGACCACCAGGAAGCAGCACAACACAGGAGCTGCCCTCTGGTGGTCAGTGCGCTCCCACAGGGGGAGCGCTGCTCAGTCAGAAGCTGGGCTCACAGCTGGCAAGCACAGCGGCAGTGGCGGGAGCCTCTTCTGCCTCCATGGCAACACTAAGGACCCCTCAGGGGGGTCCCAGACTGTGAGAGGGCGCAGGCCAGGCTGAGGGACACCTCCCTCCCCCAGTGCACGAATGTCGTGCACTGGGCCTCTAGTGTATCCAGAAAAATCTAGCCTTTGTTACCATCACCACAAGAAGTCTAAGAGATCAGCTGTTTGGGAATTATGGCCGCACTGGCATTGGGAAAATTGTGTCTGCTTCAAGCCCTTCAGAAGTGGCCATCGTCCCCATGGGCCTGCCATTGCCCATCTCTTAGTGGGAGAGAGAAAGGGCAGGCTGCTCTTGGGTTACCTCCTACAGTACTCTTCAGAAGACCATGTCACCCTGCAATGTTCTAGGGCAGCTGGCTGGGGCAAAAGCTCTTAGCTCTACCTAGGGAGACAACACTGGTCAGACAAAGGAGGGAGAAAGAGGCTGAAATCTTCAGGGGAAGAATGGAGCATACAAATGGACAAAAGATACCAAGTCCACTGTGCTACTTGGTTTCATGAACAAACCACACTTCCTGATTTGCTTAATATTCTCTGATCAAATAGCAACCCTGCAGAGGAGAGAGTATACTAGACCAGTGATGGCGAACCTATGATACACGTTTCAGAGGTGACACGCGAACTCATTTTTTTGGTTGATTTTTCTTTGTTAAATGGCATTTAAATATATAAAATAAATATCAAAAATATACATCTTTGTT